GAGTACCTGGGTGATGGTACTATTCATTGTTCTGGGTGGTAATTAAATGAAATGCATTTACTTTATGAAAATTCTTCGAACTTACACTTATGACTTGTGTACTTTTCTGTGTGTATGTTGTCTGCTTCAATAAACAATTTTATTAAAGGAAAAAAGAAAAAATAAGTGACAAATTTTTGAGATACAAGTTAGAACAAGGTAAAAAAAAATATAACCCATAGGGAAGAATGATGTCTCACTAAACTTCTCTATTATCAAGCAGTGTTTATTAAACTTTTATCTCACTGGTAGAGCTGCTCCTGCACTTCCTTTAAGCTTCAACTTGATTGTCTGCTCCTGACTCTTCTTAGCTGCTGTCAGACTGTACAGTCCAAGGGAACATGGAATGCTGCTCCTGGGCAAGCAGTAGACGTGAGAAGCAACACTATGATTTGTGTGAAATACGGAGTTAATAGCAGCAAGGGCTGGTGGGTCTGCTCCTTGGGAAGTTACTAAAGTCCCACATTTGGTGAGGCTTCAGCTTGTAGAGGAAGCCCTGGAACAAAATGGTAAATAATGGGGCATCACTGAGAAGCCTTGCTGGCCTTTTCCCATGATTCATCCATTGGCCCCGCTGTGCTGCCCAGCTTTTGGAGAAATAATGGTGTCTACCTTTTTCTGTCTGAGTTAACTTAATGGGGGCCACTCTACCTGTTTGAGATTTCTTCTTCTATAGATAAAGGGATAGTATTACCTCTCAGTGTGTACCAAACCAGTTGACACAGAGTTGATTCTGACTCACAGTGACCCCACGTGTGTCAGAATAGAACTGTGCTCCATAGGGTTTTCAATGGCTAATTTTCAGCAGTAGATTTCCAGCCCTTTCTTCCAAAGCACCTCTGGGTGGACTCAAACTGCCAACCGTTTGGTTAGCAGCTGAGCACATTAACTATTTGCACCACTCAGGGACCTCAATGTGGAAATGAGGTCTAAAGGAAACATTTTTTTCCCCTAAACAAGTCTAATACAGTCCTACCTCAGGGACTTGGCATTTGCTGCTCTGGAAACTGCTTCCCTCAGACATCAGCAGGGCTCCCTTGCTCACCACCTTCAGGTTTTTCTTGAATATCACTTTCTCAGTCAAGCTTTCTCTGACACCTCTCCCTTCAATTAAAAAGTCTAACAACTTCCCCTCCCTCCCTCATTAGTCTCGATCCTCTTTCCCTGCTTTATTTTTCTCCCTGGCACTTACCATTTGACATACCCTGTGTGTTTTGTTGTTTATTTTTATTGACTTTCTCTTCCTTTAGAATGTAGGTTCCATGCAGTCAGGGCTTTTTGTCTTTGTTCACAGATGAATCCCCAGAACTTAGAATAGTATCTGGTACATAGAAGGTGTTCCATGAATATTTATTGAGTGAAATAGCACATGTAAAAGTGCATAGAACAGTGCCACGGCAGGCATTCAATGAAAGCTGATTTTCTTGCTTCTTTTTTGTTAAATTGTAAAATCCAGGATGTTTCAAGATTCCAAATAACCCCAGGCAACTCCTTGAAGATGAAATATAACAAGGACTCAGAGAATCACTCAGAATTCTTGGATTCTATTTATTCCCTGCTGAGCTCTGTGACTGGGTCAACTCCCTTAACTTCTCTGGGCCTCAGTTCCTCCCAACTTGAAAATGAGTTTTGTGGCTCTTGTTCCTAATGTTGACTATAAATAGCTCACTTGCTGGCTTTCCTGTGAAAATATCCTTGAGTTCTTGCAAAGCCAGAAATAAGTAGATAAACAATGGCAGAAGTTGGAGGTCAGTTGTCATCAAATTTGCTGTTTTCCAACCTTGTATGCATGTCAGAGTCCCTGGATGATGCAAAGGGTTAAGTGGTTGACTACTAACCGAACGACTGGCAGTTCAAGTCCACCCAGAGGCACCTCGGAAGAAAGACCTGCTTCCAAAAAGTCACAGCCTTGAAAACCCAGTGGAGCCAAGTTCTATTTACTTTGCAACAATTGGGGTTGCCATGAGTCAGAATCGACTTGACAGCAACTGGTTTAGTTTGGTTTTATGCATGTAGCAGAGAGAGAGAGGAAAAAAAGTGAGACTGCTCAGAGTTAAAAAGGCACATGAAAGTTGACTGCAGAACTTACATGGAGAGAAAAGCAGGGTGGGGAGAAGAAAAGAGTTGGAGAGAAAGGAAGAGACTTAACATATATTTGGGAATTGCTCCATACCAGAAACTATAGTCTCACTGAGTCCTTATAACAACCCCACGAGGTGGGCATTGTTATTATTATTAGTGTTATTTCCATTTTACAGGTGAGCACACTGAGATTCAGAACGCAGAGCTGGGCTTTGTTATTTCAGCGTACTCAGAACCCATACAGGTAATCTCTGCCTTATAGCAATGGTTGAACATGCTTTGGCACCTGTCTCACCTCCCACCTTCCTAACCAGCAATGCCCTGCTACAAGGGAAGATGAAGCTCCTGTCTGTTTTTTTTTTTTTTTTTTTGGTAGTTCTTTTAAAAAATGCCAAGCCCAATTCTATTCCTCTTCTTGTTGGTATTGTTTTGTTATTGCTTCTTGTTTTAGTAAATGGGTAATGTCCATTAAAGAAAAATCAATAAACAAGCAAACAGAAGAAAATTCTACAATAAGCAAAATAATCTATAGTGACATAAAGCAGATCAGGGGTTGCTTGAGGGGAGGGGAGATGAAAATATTGCATATTTTGATTTCTGTTGTCATTATACTTGTATGTAGTTTATCAAAACTCATTAACCTGGGAGATGGAAAATTTTACAAAGGATATTGATGATGGTTGCACAACATGATTGATGTACTTGATCTCACTGAACTGCATACATGAAAAATGTTGACTTGACATATGTTGTGTTATCCAAATTTTTACAAAAACAAACTTATTTTAATAAAGAAAAAAAAACTGGTCACGTACACTTAAAACAGGTAAATTTTATTGTATGTAAATTATACCTCAATAAAGTTGATCTAAAAACCAAAAATCAGTAATGCCACCATCCAGAGATAACCACTATTACCATTTTGTATTACCATTTTGGTGTTTTATGTTGCCAGGACTTCTTCTATGCAAAATATATATATATATATATATATATATAATGAAAACTGTATCACATTTCACATATTTTCTCTCAATAAAATATCATGAAAACCTTTCCATGTCAAGAGCATTTTTATAGCGCTAGAATACACCATTATGTTAATGTAACATGATTTACTCAACCCATTCTTTCTGTTGAAAAATTTTTTCCAATTTTTCACTAGTATAAACATTTCCATTAATATCATTGAAACTAAATATTTGAGCCCATCCTTAATTACTGCCATAGAATAAATTTCTACTACTAAAATTACTGAGTCAAAGGGTTCACATTGTTAAAGGAATTTGAAATATCTTTCAGCATTGCCCTGCCTAAAATCTATACCATTTTATATACTCACTGGCATGTCTGACAGTGCGTTCAAGGATATCTTTGGTCTTGACTGTAGACCAATGGGCATTGTGGCTCTCCATGCAAAAAAGCACCACGTAAATCTCAACACTTGAAATTTTCTAAGATCCTTTACTTTGGGAGTCATTGAAACTTCACAGAGTCAGTATCTCAGCCCTAACATTACTGAATTCAAGGTCCATAAGGTTCAGGTGCCTAAGAGCACAGGGTCAGTTAGGAGCACATTCAGGACCTGAATTCAGGACTGAAATTGCCAGTTGACTTGTTGAAGAAGCACTGAGTCAAGGCACCAGCAAAGAACTCACACCATCCGGGGTTCAGATGCTCTAACCCCCACAGCCACTTACTCTCTTTGGACCAAGCCTTGTTCCAGAGCAGCCCTGCAGGGAAGCCAGGGATCCCAGAGGTTGCACATATTGTTGTGGTTATCAGGCTAACTCTGGAGTTGCTTCCACCTTACTCTAATACTTGTTTCAGTTGCATATGGCCTCCGGATGGTTATTTCACCTTTCTAGAGCTCATTTTCCTCAAGAGAGAAATAGTTAATAATTGTACCTATCTCATAGAGTTTTATGAAGATGGCATAGATAATGCAACCAAATTCATTAGCACCATGCCTGGCCCTAAGGAGGTGCTTGATACTTGTTAGGGATTACTGACATTTTTGTCTGTTGGCCCCCTCATACTTGGCTTCAGGGAGCAGAGGCCTGAGAGGAACAACTTCTGTCCTGGCATCCGCAATCGTGCATCTACAAACGGCCAGCCACCATGCTCATTTTGGATCTGCCTAATGCTACTGATGAACTAGGGACATGAAACCCCATTCTTAGGAGAGGCCTACCAACCTCTCATGCCCGCAGGACCACGCCTGACAAATACAGCAGAAATTATAGGCATCTGATTTAAGGCTTCATGTGTACACTTCGCCAGGCCAAGCCCCAAACCCGAGTTCTGCTGCTGCATCAAAGGAACAACTGTCTTCCAGGCTCCAGGCCCGGAGTAAGCAGCAATTTGGGAGGCAGCCCCCTTTTATTTTTAGCCTTAAAATCCCAAAAGCCAACATACCAGTGCTCACCCAAGCGTCTCTTACAAGCTGTTGTTTGATTTGGGTTGAGAAAATGACAGGCTGGGTTCTGTACCAAGAAGAGAAGAAAAAAGGGGTTTTATTTTCCCTCCATTGCTAACCCCCATCCCTTTCAACTCCTCCCCTAGTCCTGGGTGGACCCTGCCTGGGTAATCGTGCCCTACTATATTTGAAAACCACAGATGTGTTTGGTGGAGACTTAATTTCGGAATTGCAGGCGGCGACTCCTAAGGACAAGGGGAAAGCCGGTGCCGCGCCCGCCTGCTCGGCCTCCCCGCCTGCCGCCCCGAGCCCCGAAGAACTGCAGAATCCAGGTCAGGACGCGCCGCCGTCTCGAAACTGCCGCCGGCCACGAGGTGCCGGCCGCCAGGCTCCAGCGATTGGGTGGGTTGCCGCAGGCTAGGTGTTCTGTCTGAATTCACTCTTAGGGGGCTCTCCGAACCCAGGGACAGGCTCGGCTTCTCCGCAGCCGGTCTGGAAGCTATCTGAAAAATCCCCCTCGGCGCCCCAGGATAAATATGCGGGGCTTGTCATTCGGTGCAGCGCTCTCGCCCAGCTGATAGGGTGACGTGCAATTTAGAGGCTTGGAGATTGGCTTTTTGATTTGGCTTTCTGCTGCAGCTTAATGGGTAAAGCTCTCGGCTCGCCCAGAAACCAGCCCCTCCGCGCGTCCCCTTCGCGCGCGGCGAAGCCGAGACGTCCCCCGCCGTGACGGCGTGTGAGGCGGAGAGACGGCACGCTCCCAGCCCCGGGAAAGCCCCAGCGCCGCGGCTGCAAGCCGGGGTCCGTCAGAGCCGCCAGGGTGCGCCGGGCTCTTCTCTTTGCTCCCGCTTCCGGGAAGGATCCCCGCGCTGCCCGCGGCGGGGACCCGGATCCTCTCCCGGCGTCGTCCCAGCCCAAACTCCGGAGCGAGGTGTCCTAGGGGTCGGTGGTGTGGGGTTTTCCCTGTTCCCCCAAGCGGCGCGGAGGCAGCCTTCCCCAGGCCCCCTCGCCCTGGCCCTACTCCCCCTCCTGCCGGGACCTCGCGCTCCAGATGCGCTGCCCCGCAGCTCCCTGACTGCTGCGAGCCGACGAGCCCCAGCGGGCGGGCGGCGGCGGCGTGACATGCCCCGGACGCGGCTCCGGCCGGCGGGCAGCCCGCGGGGGCGATGATCCGCTGCCGCCCGTGAGGAGGCCCGGCGGCGGGGCATCGCGCACCTTCCTGACTCCCCTCACTTCCCAGTCGGCTCGGAAGGCCGAAAGGAAACGGTGAGTAATGGGATGAGTCTCCTGCCCTGCCCCCTCAGCGAGCGGCTGAGGCAGGGGAGGCAGAGGGTGGGGGGCTTGGGATGACCCCAAGAGGGTTCCTGGTTGTGAATAATGATATTAAGTTATTTCTCAATATCATTCCTATGAACTGCCTTCCTGTAGGTTTAGTGCCACAAAAAGTGTGTGTGGGGGGTGCCCCAGAAAGTGTATATTGTGTATGCAGTGCTGGGGGGGAGGTCTGGCAGTGTGTCTATGGGAGGCTGAAGGGGGGGTGCCTGGGAATATGTGTGCAGCCGGGTTGTGGGCTTGCTGGCTTAGTGGCGGGTGCGCACTAAGACTGAATGCTGTGGTGCGTGGATGCATGTGTGCATGTGTGTGCTGGCGGTGCCAGGGTGTATTGTGCTCCTGGGTTGTGAGTGCCCGCCGGGTTTGGGGGACTCTGAGGAGGGCGCGTTCCCCACTCGGCGCGCGTCCGCATGCACATACGCAAGCGCGCACCCCAACCTCGGGACTGGGCGCAGCGAGTCAGGAGCTGCAGCCCCAGCGCACCCGCCAAGGGGCGGGGGAGAAGGAGGGTTCTGGAGTCCTGCGCTCTCCAGACAGCGGTGGTCTGGGCGGTCCCAAGTCAGGTATAGAGAAGGGAAGTACTGAGTACTGTATACTGTACACACACACACACGCTGACACACACACACTGAGCCACAGGCCCTCCTTCAGAGGCTAGCGCTCCTCCTGCAGGCCCTGCCTGACCTGCCTTGAGGACCCGAGCCACCGGGGGAGATAAAGAAAGCGATTTGCTCCGCGACTGGAAAAAGCAGTTTTTTGTCTTTACACATTGTGTTTTATTTTTAAACGAGGGGAGGAGGGGAGTGGTTAAATAGAACAAACGCCGGTAATGCAGTGCCATAAATTTATCCGCTAGCTGCCGCCTTCCCCCTCCCCCCGAAACACGCACACAGACACACACACACATACCCACACTCTGTCTTCTGGAGATTTAAAAAAAAAAAAAAAAAAAAAAAAAACAACCCTGAACGGCTGATGGTTCGGTCTGTAAGGCAGAAGCATTGGAATTGACGGGATGCAATTTATCCGAAATGAAGACTGCAGCTGGGAGCAAGGTGCGGAGCTTCTGGGTGGTCAAGAAACACCCGAAGCGGAGGGGGTTGTGGGTACGTGACACAAATACATCTGGCCTTCTGGTGGGGCACCAAAAGGGAAGTCTCAGGGCCTCTGGCGTCTGGGTGACTTGCAGCCGCTTGTGATTAATCTTCCACAGCTGTTGCGCCCCATCCACTTGAGGTGAGCTCTTGTTTACCTCGGTTTTCAAATATAGCTGCTGCGCCATGCTCTTCCTGAAATAGAGGGATCAGTTCACTGTGTATGCCAGCTTGCCCTCCGGCTGGCGCTTTTTGTCAGCTTCGCTGGATCCAAGTTTGAGAGGAAACTGCCCCTTCATGCCTTGCAGTTCTCTAGACGAGCATGGTTAACAGAGCTTAGGGTGACGAGGGACCAGCCTATCACCCCTGACCCCCTCATTATAGGTGGCAGTGTCCAAATCCATACATAGTTCCCATAAGCAGTACTCCCCCACAGGCCCACCCCATAGCTCCTTTTTCTTTAAATAAAATACAGCTATTGGGTTGAGGAGAAATGGATGGAAACTACAGAACTGAACTTGGCTGAAGTGGTTCTTTCTTTAACATAATGAAGATGGGAAGGCCATTGTTCATGCAGTTTCTTAAACCTGGAATGCGTTATTGTTCTTCCCTCACCTCTAAATTTCAACCCAATCCTTGCCTAACCTACTCCTATTCACCCTTCAGCTCTCAGCTCATTTGTTGCTTCCTCAGGGAAGCCTTCCGTATCTTTCATGACTAGGCCAAATCTCCTTATTTTATACACCCATCACCTGAACCTGTCATTCTGAAGTAATTCAAGGATGCAAATTAAATTTATTGATGTGATTGAGTAATACCTGTCATACCTCTAGACAGTAACTGCCACGAAGGCAGGAAGGATCACAAGTGTTTGTTCACATAGTATCCCCATGCCCTAGCACTTTGCCTGTCATAGAGTAAGCACTCAGTAAATATTGGATGAATGAATGGACTTGGAGGGACAAGTTACGTATCTTCCCCTTTCTGCTCTGGCTCCTCTGACCTCTACTCTGGCATCTCTTAAGCTGCCTTCTGTAGCCTCCTGGTCAGAGAAAGAGGAATAGGGTTATCAGACTAACCCTATAAAATTATTCCCTTCCCTTGTGCTCTCCTGGACTGGGGCCTGGAGCTGATCGCATGTCCTCCTGCCCCAGCCTTGCCTTGTCCCTGTGCAAGGCAGTTCCTTGTAGTCTCTGGGCACAGTTGCTTGTATTGTCCATGGGTAGTGATTGTGGGCATTGTTCCCCAGACTGCATGATCCAGTCATTGCCAGAATCTGGACAATGAATTTTGGGAATGTGTCAGACATTTTGGCTTCTCTTCAAGCTACCAAGTTTGGATAGGAGGAGAAGAATAACTCCCTCTTCACTCAAGCCTGATTGCTTTGCTTACAGGTTTAAATATTTGGTGAGGTTCAGAAATATATTGTACACCAAAAGAGAAAGCCGTCAGTCATTTATTCAACAAATATTCACCAACAACCTACTGTGCCAGGCATGTGCTAAGTACAAAGACAAATAAAATAGACATGATGCCTTGCCTCATAAATTCTCATTCCAGTAACAAAAAAACCCAAACCCATGTCGTCGAATCTGACTCATAGCGATCCTATAGGACAGAGTAGAACTGCCCCAAAGGGTTTCCAGGGAGCAGCTGGTGGATTTGAACTGCTGACCCTGTGGTTAGCAGCCAAGCTCTTAACCACTGCACCACCAAGGCTCCCTCATTCCAGTTGGGGTAACCAAATAGTAAACAGGCAATTACTACATAAAGTGATTCCTGCTAGTGGAAGGTAAGTCCAGCGGCAATGGAAGCATACAGGAAGAACACCTCCTCATACGGGCTAAGAAGGACTTTCAGGGGAAGCTAAGCCCAGAAAGGAAGGATAGGTGGGTAAAAGAGAATGAAGCAGGGAGGGAAGAGGTGGGAGAGAAAATGTTGTGAGTGAAGGAATCAGTAAAAAGGACCTAAAGTGGATAAGTGTTCTAAGTAGCTGGAGGCAGGATAAAATGCAGGGGGAGATGATTTTGGAGAAGCCATAGGATCCAAACCTTGAAGGGCTTGTACTCCATGCTAAGGGTTTCCACTTTAACCTGAATTTCTGGTGTAGGGGTGAGGAAGGTTTGAAGTATTGAAGTGAATGGTCAGATTTGCGCTTTAGACAGTCTGTTGAAACTGGAAGGTAGGAAGAGAATGGGAGGCAGAGAGATAGAGGTTTTTGTAGAAACCCAAGTGTGTGATCCTAGTAGCCTGTGAAGGTGGAGCTTCCTTCTTCTGTTTTAGTGTCCAAACCAGAGCTATCTTTCTAGGAAGAAGTTCCACTAATTTTCCTGCATGAGATTGGATTATGTTTCTTTGTTCATATGTGTTTTGAGTATACACTCTAAACTCAACACTGGGCAAGGGTGCCTTAGGGGAAGGAGAAGAGGCTCCAGAAGGTGTAGAACACACTTTGTGGCCCAGGGAGCTTGTAGAGCAAGGCACACTCTCAAAGATCTGAGATGGAGAGATCTCTAGGGGCTGGAGAAGGCCCCAAGAAGGATCCTGGAAGGGTAAGAAGGATTTAGATCCATATTTAGATCCATAGAAACTATAGAGTAAGGCATCTAGATATGAAGAATCACTTGTGCACATATACGTATATATATATTTTTTCCTAATATGGAGACTGACTAAAGAATCAAGTGTACTCAGATACGGTATACAGAGTCACATCTACTAAGAAAATGGCAGTATTTAATCCTGGCTATAATTTGGAATGAGACAAGTAGCATTTACTGCCTTGATATTTGGAATGACAAATAGGGCTTTCTTGGTGGTGCGCAGGAATGATAGGTCATGCGAGGACTGGATCCGGAAGTGGGACTGCAAACTATAATCCTGCCCTGGCTTCCATATGGTAATTTCCAAATCACTTGGGAGAGAGGACTTCAAAACAACGCACTGCTGTGTATAGTCGTTGAGAGTGAAGCCACACAGTGTGAGCTTGGCTAACAGTCATCCTTCAAACTCTGATCTCTCCACTTTGTTCCTCATACTTTTCTGTCACTCATCTCAGAGTGAAAAAAAAAAAAAATTCCTCTTCCCCTCCTGCACAGTGACCAGGAGCCACCCTGCCCACCTCTGGGAATTTGTCCCACAGGCTCTTTATCTTGTCTGAAGTCTTTCTCCTTCTACACTGACTCCTCTCCCTCCGATTTTAGACACGTTCAACAATCTTCATCCTAAAAAGAATATCACTTGACCAATTCCTCTTCCCTATCATTCTCTCTCCCCATCTTGCCTTCAATAAACTCTTAAAATTTAGGCTAACCATCTGTCTGTATTTCCTCATCACTCCTTTAGCCTTTTGCATTCCCACTATTCCCCTCTGCTCAACTCTCATCAACCAAGGACTTCCCATTCCCCAAAATATAATGATCTCTCTCTTCTCTCACTTCACCCCAGTCAGATAACATTGGCTATTCATTCCTTAAAACCTTCCTCTCTTGGCTTCTATCACACCAACTCTCTAGGTTCCACTAATTCTCTCGATGGTCTCTCTACCACTTTCCCTCCAAGATTCTCTCCTCTCTCCCTGTTTTCCCTTTCTCCATCATCCCTTAGCAGTCTCCCTCAATGGTTTCTGTTAATATTCCAGTGTGGCTAGTGGCATTGTATCTCTAACTCTCCAAGCCCAGGGTTTCATTTCCAGCCACTTGCACAATATCTCCAACAGGATGTCCCATCAGCTCCTCAAACTGAATTTTTACTAAATTGACGCTATCTTTGATCCTAGGAGCTCCTGACTTCCCACTTTCTTTTGATGGCACTGACAAACTTCCAGTCACTCTGGCTCAA